CTTTAGCAAGACATATTTAATGAAAATAATTAAAATGAGTGAATAAAATAATAACACAGATTGCAATCTAAAGATTATTATAAGATAGATCATACGGTCGAAGCCTTCAATCAGTGTACTCATGGTTTTCTTCTGAAGTCTCAATCTGCTTGCTCAATGTTTTCTCATAAGACAATAAGCGGGACCTACAAAATTCAAGTAAAAAATTTTCCACTTTTTACCTTTGCGAGAAATTCCTCTAAATAGCTTTATTCATGAATAGTGTCTAAGTTGTCGTGCTATCATTGCCGAGTGGATGTAGCTTCAATGATAAAGCCAACGTTTAAACACGTACGTCTTATCTGATTATGCTAACAATTTTGATGCAATATCAAATATTCATGATTTTATACAACTAGCAAATTTCAGGTGAGGTCCACCTTAAAGGAAAATCTCCTCTAGTTCATCAGGAGCTCAAGGAGAAGTTAAAAGAGCTAAGAACTTGGATGAATATGACATCAAAACAGTCTCTAGAATCACATGGTACCCTAACATATTGAGGTCTCCGATTGAAAAGAAATTATAGTTGAGTAAATAAGAGAAGGACTAAGAATCTTAGGAGAAATCTTGTGTTTATATAGTGGATTACCTTAGCTAAAAATTCCACTATTGTTTATGATTTTATGATGACATGCTAAATATTACCATCTCTCAAGCTTTAGACATCTACCACATTAGTAATGGAGAAGTTCAAGCCATTTACTTCAAGCACTTGTCTACTGAACCACATAATTTAGGTTCATATGGACTCATACTTCACCTTATGGCAACATAAAATGTTTGGCAAATCTTCTTGGCTTCTAGGAGCTCAAGAATTGGATAAGAAGTTGTTGCTTATAATTTCTATGGTCTTAAGCTCCCTATGGGTGGCTTAGAAAACTGAGCTCCCTATAGGTAGCTTGGTAAACCAAGCTAACACCACATCCTTCGATGCAGTAAGTAGCAAGTAGTAGCTAAAGAGAGTCAAATACCACATTCAATCCCACATGGAATTGAACTCAATAGACGTCATGAGCTTTTAGGATCAGTTGTGTTGTGGTAGAAATTTAGCTAAGGAACTTTCAATTTCTTTAGCAACAATTCATGGCTGATTTTGCCACAAAATGATCTTTAAAACTACTTCTATCAAGGAAAATAATGTGGTTGGCAAGCTGGCTAGTTGGAAGAAATTAACTCAGGCTGGTGATACTCACCCAAAATCATGAATTACTATCGAACAAACTAATGTTTTTTTGATTGATCCTTTCAGACATTCTCTCCATGATCTATGCCACTCAAACTAGCGCATCAACCTAAAATATTTTTGTAACTTATAATCTTCGTATAATCAAATTCCTTAGTGTCAACATAGAGCCAGTATGATTTTATGTTGTTTAGAATGTTTCAGTTTACTTATTTTTAATTTGCTTGTAAATTTAAAGAAGACTTGAAAATGTTAAAATATTTGATAAGACTTGTGATTGTGATCAACACTTTAAATTTTCTGTTGATGGATTTTTTGATTTCTTTTTTGACTTATATGTAATGTTCTCATTGGTGCTTCATGTTAACTTATACTGTTGTACAGGAGCAGATAAAGTTCGAGATAGCATTGTAATTGCCACAAAGTTTGCTGCATATCCTTGGCGCCTCACATCTGGACAATTTCTAAGAGCCTGCAAGTATCTACTGACTACTTTTTACTTGAGCACATACCCATTTATTCACCTTCTCATAATGTTTTTCAAACAATAAAGAAGTACGCACATTAGTAAAAATGGTCTCTGTTCTTTAAACTGATGCCTAGCCTCCTTCATGGGTTTCTTGGGAAATTTACATACATACCATAGTTCTTCTGTGTTTACATATCAAATACTTAATGTTTGATATCTACATTTATAACACTTTGATATCATAAGCTTATGCATAAAATGTGTATTTCGCTTTTAAAGAGAAAGTTCTAATGACATTTTTGATGTGATATTAAAGGCTTGAGTGTTATGCATATAAACATGAATGTTTAGGTGTTAGATATGTAAATGCATAAGGATTGTGTGGTATGTATGTAAATGCCCCGAATTTCTTTTAATTGCTAGTTTTATATTTTTGATTTTTGCCCTTTTGACAGGTCTTCTTTAAACCGCATGCAGCTTGAGCAACTTGGAATAGGACAGCTGCATTGGTCAACTGTAAACTATGCCCCTTTGCAGGAATTAGCTTTATGGGATGGACTTGTTGCAATCTATGAGAAGGTTGGATCACTTGATCAATTCATATTTCATGTTGTCTGTTTCAAATTTTCATTATTTGCTTCTTTCTTGTGTTTGCCGTTTTCTTACTTCTTTGTTTAATTGATTGAGGCTTGTTGTTCTAAATTGCGTATAAACCAGAACAAATTCAGCACTGAACCTAATATGTATGATGTTTCAGTGTGTCCACACTATTTTCAAAGTTGATGTTTTATTTATTGACTAAGAATATGGTAAATATTATATAATTTTTTTCCTTCATGATGCAGTACCCTTTGTCCTTGAGAACTCATTCTTGGTTCTTATGTCTCTCTGTCAGTCAGCATAAAAATTATTTTATTCAATAAAAGTAATTTGGAAATATTAGGAAGAAAATTATTCAGGCTACAGTTAATGTGACTAGAAGTTGTGCATGCTAACCAAGTTAAGACCTCTTGAAGAGCACAATGGAAATGAATGGAGAATAGGAATTCACATTTGCCAAAGTCCCTAAAATTTAGTAAGAGGCTAATGATGGTGGTGATGATAATTTGGGCCTGGGTCTTATTTTGCATGAATGAGTTCCATAAAATTATTATACCGCAGGGTTTAGTTCGTGGAGTTGGTGTTAGCAACTATGGCCCTAAGCAGCTTCTCAAAATTTACGAGTACCTAAAGTCTCGAGGTGTTCCTTTATGCTCAGCTCAGGTGCTGCATTTTTTCTGCTAACCATATCTCCTGGCTCTCCCATTTATTGCTCTTTGATTCTCAATTTGTAATAGATACATTAAAATTCTAAATCGCAGATTCAATTTTCATTGCTTAGCTTTGGTGATGATCAAATGGAACTGAAAGCAGTATGTGATTCTTTGGGAATCCAACTAATTTCGTATAGCCCTCTGGGACTTGGTATGCTTACCGGGAAATACTCAGCTTCCAAGCTGCCCAGTGGGCCAAGGTAATTATGTTTATTTCATACAACAGAATAAGTTTTTATTCCAATATTAATTAAGCTCAGACTCCTCTCATACCTTCAGCATTTTCAAATGTAGAGCTATACTATTTCGCCGGATTCTTCCACGATTGGGTCCTTTGCTCAATTCTCTTAGAGGGATTGCACAAAGGAGGGATAAGACAATTTCACAAGTGCCAATTCTAACTCATTTTTTTTAAATTCTTGCTATCTTTATTTCATATTTAAGTTGAACTTGATAGTATACAAAGAAAATGTTTTGATTGTTTGAAAATATTAAAACGGATGTGGTTATGTTTATGACAAACTTATAGGTTGTGTACTCTTTAATTTCATTAGAGGAATGATTATATTGGAGGGATGATATGAGTGGCAACAAATAAGATAAACTTTAGCTCCCTGGTTTTTTAAACCCTTGATTTTGTAATTACTATGTTAGATTTGTAATTATTAGGATAGATTTGCTACATCATACATCATGGAATACAATTAAAGCATATTCTGAAGCCTCTTTCACTATAATCTCCCTATCATAAATGAGAGTGACGATTCATGTAATCAAGTTCTAAATAACTAGGATGAGATTTATCTTTTCTTTTACAGGTTGCAATAAACTGGTGCATCTGCAAAGGCACCATCCCAATTCCTGGAGTGAAGTCAGTCAGGCAAGCAGAAGAAAACTTGGGCTCCCTTGGTTGGCGTTTGAGTTCCGAGGAGATATCTGAGCTTGAATCTGCAGCGAGGGACTGTCCGAATAAGATGATTCAGAACATCTTCCAAACCCGGTAATCAGAATCACTCTGAAATAGATAAGGTCATTAGTAATATGTGTTAATTATGAAGTGTAAAAATAGTCTACCGACCCCACAATTTATAAAAGAGTGAATTTAGTCGCCATAATTTTTTAATATAGATTGATATAGTCCTCACAGATGATTAATCGGTCTAGTTTAAAGAATTTGGGACTAATCTGTCGCAATAATAAATTCTGGGAGTAAAATGAGACCTCATATAAACAGTCAGGGGACTAAATTATCATTTTACTGGGTTAATTTTAATCATTCATGATTAATTCCGTACCTTATCACATGTAGCAATTGTAATGTACAAGTAAGTGACCCTTCTTTTGCTTTACATTTGTTGTTGTTTGAACAAGGAGATATTGTGTTCTCTTTCAAGAATGTGAAATCTGTTCATGAAGATGCCTTGTGGGTAAATTCTTTGAATTTCGTGAAAATTTGAAACAACTAATACATTTTTTTTCTGGAAATCTGTTCTTTTGTTAGTTTGATGAACTTGTGTGGGTGCAATAGGGCTAGACTAGCCATTAGATAGATCTTAGGCCGAGCTGTGTGATTATTGAATGGTAATCTAATCATAGTTTGTACTTGTATTACTCTTTAAAATGATGCCGGGTCGTGCTCGATCACGATAAAAACATGAGTTATTTGAAATGGATTTTTTATTTTCTGAATTCTTTGGCTAATATACATGCATTAATGTATTCAAATATGTCAATGTATTGATTGGAATATTCAATATATATAGGTATATAAATCTGTACATACATCTCTCTCTCTCTCTCTCTCTCTCTCTATATATATATATATATATATATCTCTATTTTAAAAAA